GGTATAGCAGATGTCAGTCAGAAAGCAGGCTAGGGAGGGCTGAGAATCGAGATTGCTAAGTGAATTTAATCCTTCTCCATGCTCCCAAACTGGAAGAATAATTAGATCAGCCATAGAGGTGGTGTAAGGAAGGAAGGAAGGAAGGAAGGAAGGAAGGAAGGAAGGAAGGAAGGAAGGAAGGAAGGAAGGAAGGAAGGAAGGAAGGAAGGAAGGAAGGAAGGAAGGAAGGAAGGAAGGAAGGAAGGAAGGAAGGAAGGAAGGAAGGAAGGAAGGAAGGAAGGAAGGAAGGAAGGAAGGAAGGAAGGAAGGAAGGAAGGAAGGAAGGAAGGAAGGAAGGAAGGAAGGAAGGAAGGAAGGAAGGAAGGAAGGAAGGAAGGAAGGAAGGAAGGAAGGAAGGAAGGACTCCAATGAGCTCATAGGACAGGAGTCTCCAAACTCTTCAGCTCATCGACCCCTTGAAGTTTCAGAATGTTCATTGATCCCCAAACATTTATTATATGAAAATAACTTAATAAATACTACCTTAACTAATAGTACTATGAATAATAATAATAGTTACAACAACAACAATCATCATCATCATCATTGACCCTTGGAGGTAGATACTGACCACTTTGGGGATCCTGTCATAGGATCTCTTTGCCTATTACTGCTCTCACAATTCCTTGTCTGAAATAGGCATTCAGAAGGAAAAAAAGAAAACCTGCTCATAATTTCATTGTGAATGGTAGATGTGTTTCTGGCTGACATGACTGATCTTATGGAAGGCAAGCCATTTATTATTACAGCTTCAGCAGCCCGTGCCATCACCATCTTGCACTACCATCTGGTTTTATTATAAAATTACGCTGGGCTTATTGTTGCTATAGATTTTTTTAAAGAATAATAAAAGCTCAGTTTTGCCTTAGAGCAGCACTTTTGCATTTCCCTAGTTCAGCAAGCAAGAGAGGATTACCGTAACTGAGAAATGTGGCTCCTGAAGAGCTTTTCTTTCCAAGCCTGCTTATAGAAATCACATAATAATTGCTTTTTCTCCAAAGATTATGTGGAATTTATTCTTACAGTGTTAAAAAAAAGTGGTCCTATATTCTTCCCAATATGTAGGGCACATTTATAGGCTACTGGCTGCCCTTCCCACACAGGATTAATGATTACAAAGGCTTCCCCCAAAACTGTGCTGCTGTTTGGGAATTATGGGGGATGTAAAATACATTTGGGGAGCAGTATGTTGACACAGCAATTAAATTAAGAAATGGATATGAATTGTTTTCCCATCCCACCCTCGGAATGAGGGAAGTAAACACACTAGAACCAATAAATTGTTCCAATGCGCAATTATTACTTCTGGCCTTTTTTTAATGCAAAGGAGATGCTGTTTTTATGATGTGATATTTCAATCAAACTGAAGGAATAGGCTTTGTCTTTTTCCATTATACTTAAAAATAATAATTCTGCATGATGATGTAGGCTGGGGTCTCTAATATCTCACTAAGTGACACCTTCAAGGATTCTTTATACCAGATGTAGTCAGTCTACTGCTAAGGACCACATGAGGACTCCATTGGGGGGAGGACAGCCCTCTGTAACCAAACGAAGATGTGGGATGGGGTTTCCCCCATAGTATAAACCACAAAATAGGTGCAGAAGCAGCACAGGATTAATGGAACTATATACTGCTGAGAGGACCATCGTACTACTTGCCTGCTTCTTAAATACGTTTCCACCTTCAGCAAAGTTAAAGCAAAGTGTTCATATGTTCATCTGTCATGGTGGCCATTCAAGAATCTTGTGATAAACTATCTGTTCTCAGTGACTACTATTAATGCCTAAAGTACAAACCATTTCTTGTTTGTTATTTCCAGCATGATATATTGCTCTGACATACTATACAGGAACATCAATCTGGATAGATTTAATAGCAGATTGTTAAAGCTGGAACACAACAGATTTGTCAAAACCTAGCATAGTTGCTAAGAGGATGAGATGGAAACTTGAAAGGCACCAATTCACTTATCGTAGCACTATAATGATAGAAAGGGCCAGCTGAAGTTCACATTCCCACTTAGCTGTGAAGCTAAATGAGTGAGCCTGGGCCAGGCATCATCTCAGTCAAGAGTTTAAAGAGAGAAAATGAATGCAGAGAGAGTCATGTAGGCATTATGAGGCACTCCAAGTCTTGGGAACTGATGGAGAACAAGTGGAACCAACTATCTCAGGCAGTAGTTGCTCAGGAGTAACTGATCAGAGTTTGAGGACAGAACTGTGTATGCACCAATACCTGCCTTACCACCACCACCAGCAGCTTGCCTGTTGCCCTTGCAAGTACCAAGATTCAGCTGCCAGATCTTTCTCTCTCTCACACACATGTAACCTGAAGGACCAAATTGGGACCAGATCCTCCTGAAGAAAGTTTGTCTATCTCCTTCACATTGCTATTTTTCTACACTTCTGGCATAAGAGCAGTACTTTTTGATGTTAAATTATTGTTTCCTGAATTTGTTTACTCACTACTTTCTGTTCCACAAAATCCACAAATGCCATTCAGTGTTTTCCTTGTATTGCTCCATCTATAGCATAAAAAATATGCTTTTGGAAAGATGCAGTCTTGATAAATGTAGGTGTCCTCAGTATGATTCTTCTATTTTGATTTAAACCTCCATCACAGCTCAGCATACTTTGAGTATAACACAGAAGCTACAGTGAATATGTGCTGAGCTTTAAATAGCCTCAGTCACTTCACTTATGTCACAGTCACCAGTGAGGTGCAAGCATTGTGGAAGATACATATTGGATCTGTACAAACCATTCAGAGGGATGTTTCACTTCCCTCACAAGTGCCTTCTGAATTGTTTGCACAACTCTAGTGCTTATGCTATAGGAAAAATATAATACTCTTAGTAATGTGAAAGGTCAACTGCAAACCTACTTGCATTGTTAGCATCAAGAGGCACTTCTCCACAGATAACTGAATGTGAAATCGTGTATGTGGGGCCGGGTAGTTTTGCTGCTTGCATACCATTCCTACTATTGCACAGCAGCATCCCTGGCAGGGCTGATTAACCTGATTGCCAAACTGGTGGTGGGGTTCTCTCAATTGGTAGTGTGGGCTGATCCAATAGATCCTTCCCCACTGCAGAAGGGGGTCACGTTGCAGAGCTCCATTGCAACCAGAAAGTCATCTGTCCATGACAAGATGCCCCCCAATTTCAAATTATACCACATCTGCCTAGAAACAAAAAACATATGTAGTGTAGAGGAGTATAGAGATAGCTTTGAAGAAGGTGTGTGGCAGCCATTAAAAAAATATCAGCTTAGCCTGGAAATACACGAGGGAGTGAGGAAGAAACTCAGGACTGGCCCACTATGACTCTGTTGGATAAAAAACAGAAATTGTGTCAAGCTTCTAAGATTCTGCAATTGCAGCCTATATCAATAAAGTAGAATTTTAGTATTTCTTGTGGTGTCTTCTTACTCACCTGGTCTTCCTTGAAGGGGATAACATTTGTTGTGTGACCTTTTGTATGCACTGGGTGCTTGATAAGTTGAGTCAGGTCTATGGTTATCGCCATGGACATAAACTCCTGGGCCACTCCAGACCCCTCACTGAGGAAAGGCAAGTTGCAGGTGCATGGCTTTTGTGTTGGTGATCTTCCTTCCTTCCTTCCTTCCTTCCTTCCTTCCTTCCTTCCTT